AACTCTATTTATGAAAGTGAGGAAGTTATATGGTACGTGACTGCAGTTTGGGGTATTATTTGAAACAAAGTATCTCAACATTATCTGTACCCAATATTATACTCATCACATCACACAACAGTAGTGCTGGAAGGCACTTTATAGATTACTGAGTCCAGATACCTTGTTTAACAGGCGCTGAATCCATGGCCTTTGAGCTTAAATGGTTAATAACATCACAAAACTGAACAGAGGTAAAGCTAAGCATAGGAAGTTGTGTGTAAATGAGTTAATAATTCCCATTTCTTGCATTAATAAATTACATATGCTTTCCTAATCAAATATTAAAATAAATATCCTATATCCTCAAAGTAAATTTAGTAAATTTTGCAGTTAGGAGAGATGCTAAATTAAACACAGAGGTCATTCATTTTAAACACATTTATGTAACTTCTGGCTGAAAACCACTTTTAAAATGTCTCGTATAGGAAATATTTGGATTAATAAAGAATAACTTACTTTCTAAAAATGACCAAGTAAATCTTGAAATTTTGGGTCTACAAATCAAACAAGCGCTGGTTGGATTTTTGTCTCCTTCAACATAGCAGAGTCCATCAATAATGCAAACATTTTCCTAATGGAAAATTTTTAAAAAGAAAACATCAATAAAGTCCACCTTTAGTTAGCATATAGAAAAAAACTGTACAAGGAAGGATGGCAATACATGTACTGATGATTCCAAAGAAAGCACATACATCTATGTTGTTACTTCATAATCATAAGTGAATATAAGAAAACAAATTACCTGAATGTCTATAAAACTGATCAATTTGGAGGTAATAAAAGTATATATAACTTTTACCTTTACAAAGTTATAGCTTATAATTTATAAATAACATGGGAGAAAATCTCTCTTTTGGTATTTTTCACCGCTGAACTCATTCTGGGAGTACTTTATTCATAAAGAAATAAAAGCAACTTCTTTTTTTTTCCTCCACAATTTATAAAATCACATTAGATTATAGTTATCTTCCGTTTCCCTAGCAGCCCACTATGGTCTGTGAACACAGTCAACTAGACCGGATCCTTGGCATTATTATCCACACTTGATAATGGATATCATTACACCAAACATGTGAAAGAGATGCTGATAAGCACAGAAAGAACATTAAATGTAGCAAGTATTCTTGAGGAGAAGACTAAATTTTATTCAGGAGATATAAACTTAGCTCATTTTACGAAATCTCCTTTAACATCACTTGGAAAATTGCACAAAAGTTAGAGCAAAATAGCTCCAGGAGGAGAAAACAATCTTGAATAATAATATTTTCAAAGTACTTATGGATATACAGAAATGAAATATTTGGGAAAAAAATAAAAATCAAACCATTTCTCAAAACCAGAGATTTGGTCTGATGACTAATCTCAAGAAAATAAATTTTAAACTTAGAAAAAATAATACTTTAAAATTTTCATGTACATAAATATTATTTGGATGCACTTCAGCTTTGAAGAGTCGAGTGAAATTTTATCCATGGAGTCTGTTGAGTCAGCAGTTCACACATGAGACAGCCCTTCTGATAAATACGGTAGGCTGGATATAGATTGAAAAGAAGTTGTGATTGCAACTCAGCTCAGGCTGCGCTGCTGTTCTGTAATCCATCAAGTGGCAGATATTTACATGCTCCAATAAACTTAGTTGCCAGGAAATACTCCCCATAAAAATATTAACTTTATACATTCTACAAATTTTAACCAAATGTACATCATTTGATGCAAAGAAGACTAGGTAACAACATGAGATCTCTTATTGGAAAGTCATTATTACTACTGAAAAAACAATGTAAGTACGAATGAAGTAGTAAATAATTTAGTCTGGACTTCCTCTTACAATTGTTTAGAAGTAATCTGACATTTCAAAATGTTAAAGGCAGGAACCTCTTCCTAGCAGGCAGAGTAACAATTTCAGTTACCCTTATATAAACTTGAGGAAGGCTTTTCTCTATTAGTTTTTCTGGTGTGAAAGTGAAAAAACTACAATTAATGTGCCAAGAGCGTAGGAAAAGAAAATACCTACGATGTAAATGTGAAAATAAATGAAAAAAATACATACCTTTACAGTACATGAGTCATTTTTATAGAGACCACAAAATTGACAAGCACCATCATATATGACCATTATTTTGTGATTACTGAATTTATAACCATCATTAGATACCTGTAACATAATAGTTCCATGTTGAGATGATTTGTTCTAAGTGTTCTAAATTCATTATGAAATGTTATATATAAGTATTTACTTTGTTTATAAATACGAAGATGTTTTTTTATTTTTTACCTTCAACTGCCACTTCCTAATTGGTTTCCCACCCACCAGATCCATGGTATCAAACTGCTGAACATCATTGGGCAGCTGACAATCAACAGCTCTGCTATTTTGGAAAACAGTCTGTGTATAGATGGGTTCTCCAGGCATCCATTCACTGCTATTATACTGAAGACATAGTGAGAAAGCAATTAACTTCTGTTAAATTATGGAACTATTTTGTTAGTAAATTACATATAATCAAAACATAAATTTAAGATATATGCCTAGTATAATGTAATATATAACAGGGAAACTAAAGTCATATTGAGAGTGAGTTTTATTCAGAAAAATGGAAAACATATATATGATAATGTGATGCAAATTGCTCCCAAAGAATCATGCATTTCTTGGCGGTTCAAGTCAAAGAAGTTAACAATATTGGTCATCTACAATGGATCACTATGTCATGACTTTTGTAACAAGAGGAAACACTTGATATATAGATGACACACAGTGGATTGATTTTCTGCCCAGAAATTCCTTCAGTTCTCCTGCAAAAGCTTCCAACACCTCATCTACTTGAAACTGTCCTTTCTGCCCCCTACACAGCTCCCAGGGTCTCTCATATTCCTATATGACCAATCTCCCTGACTATGCCTGACTGGTGCAGGGGCGGACCTAAGTTAGGCCAATATTTCAACTACTCAGGATGTTTTAACTTTGTGCCAATGGAGATGTCATGTCAGTTGGCCTCTGATGGCTTGAGTTGCAGGACACAAAACTATGGAGTGGCCATTTTTTCACTATGGAGAGAAAGCCAGTATATGGTGAAATGGGAAAATGAAGCCCACAAACAAAAGCCGAATTGAGACACACACACACACACACACACATACACACACACACACAAATGCACACATACTGAGTCTTCATGGTGTTCAAGTCCCAAGTTCAAGATTTTTCTTGAGAATTCAGCTACTTTCTTGTTCTTGATTCGCTAAGAAATATACCATCCTTATAATAAATATTTTTGCTCGTTAGTTTATTAGTAATTTGAAACTAAATAAACTCTATCTAGTTCACCCTACTTAATAACTCAGTGACATATCATGCTTAAGCTACACTTTTAGCATTATTTTTCAGTATTGAAAATGCATTGGTGCCAAAAGAGGAGAAGCCAGAATAATGTTCCAGGTACTGGTAACTGTGTAGGAAACCAAAAGCTGTATTTTGCTGTCAAAATTTAGATTTAGATTTTTCTTTGAAATTTATTATTGTAAAATGTTTTCAACCACTCAGAATTTGTCATAGAGCATGCTGATGCTTCAATATTGTGGGCCAGCAGGAAAAGGAAAGGAAAACATGATCACTCTAATCTGCCGCTAATAGAAATTACACTTTTGAAGATTTGATGATTGAAAGAGTGAGTTGCAAATCTTCATATTTAAGGGAGTGTACAGAGTCTAGCCTAGCAGATCTATCAGTGGTTTCCCTCGTGTAGAGAAAGAATGGCAATGATTTCTCAGAGTAGTCATGATTATCTACACTTAGGTGAATGAAGGGTCTTGGTTTCTTGTGTGGAAAGAAGACTGCAGCCAATGACTGGCAATATAGAGATTATTTCCAACTTTCTGTTTCGAGGGGCCTACCCAAAATAAGGAATATACAGTGTTCTATTTCTTTTTCATTCATCAACATTTTGTGAGTATATATCATGTGCTGAAAATATCTCAGTGCAAAAAGATCACAAAGAAAATGACAAACAACATATAATTTTATGACTGCATTAAAAGAGACTCAAATAGGATATAATACAAATGGAGTTATTAAGTCTAACAAGCAGAGTCAAAGAAGGCTTCAAAAAAGCAAATACTTCTCTTCCTGAAAATAAAAAAGGAGACTGCTATTTGGACACTGGGAGCAGAGGTGGAGAGAGTGCAATTCACACGAATGGAGAGAATAGTGTATGAAAAAGATGGGGATGTATGTAGTAGCATAAACAAGAAGTTCAAGCCTACAAATGTCGACAAGAGCTAAATCATAATGTGCCATCCATTTCTTGGGTAACATCTTGTATTTAATCCTATAAATTAGCAACTTTAAAATAGGATTTTGTAGAGTCTTGACTGCTTTAAGAGAGGAAGTGAAAGAAATGCTTAAGTGGTTGAATCTCTAGCTAAAAACTTGCCTAAAACTACTAATACAAAAGTAGAAAAAAGTAAGTAAAACATGTTACACTTTATATATAAAAAAGAGTTATCTATCCATTTTTTGTACCAAAGAAATATAGTAAGGATTAACCAGAAAATAATGACAGTAGAAACACACTTTAATGAAAAGAAGGAGGAATGGAAAGCAGATGACGGGGACGACAAGGAAGTAACAATTCTATGTGTATGCCTTTGTATAGCTTCAACTCTTGGAACTATGATAATATTTCATATTCCCTCCAAAAAATTAATTAACTAAAATCAACCAGAGTGTGGAAGAAACTCAAAATGGAAGACAAATATTTCTAAAACCTAATTGTATTATAAATAAAACAGATAACCACTCTAAACAGAGTGGAAAATAGTTAATCTAACTCACTTTGGAAACTAGTATTTGCCTTTATATTGTGGCCTTGTTTCATGAATTTGTTTTTCACGGAGGAAGGGGTTAGAATTTCTGAAAATGACTTACATATACACTTAGATTAAGAAACCAGGTAAATATATTGTGGATGATGAGAGCCAGTTTTCACTTGTAAAGAAAAGAGTTACAAATAAAGAAAGGAGAACGCTAGAATGAACCTTATGGCACTGCATTGAAATCAGGAGTATCAGTATCAACTCATAGAGATGATAGACAAATAGATAAACAGATAGATAGGTAGTTACGTGTGTGTATAAGTGTCCATACATAGATTTTCTAACTATATCCTTTAAAAGGGCCAAGAAGCAATAACTACCCTGTAACAAGAAGCACACCTTGCACCCAAGTCTTGGATTTTAAATGACCCTCTTTGATAAATGGAACTACAGTCTTTAGAGAAATGGTTGATTATAGAGTTGGGGTAGGAAAAATATGAGTCTGGAATATCATATGATGCCAGAATGTGATAAATTGTTCAAAAAATTATGGGAGCAAGTTAAAAGGACATGAGAATCAATCTGTAATAGCTCCCAATGGTCAAAGCTGGAATAATTTAAACAGTCAAATAAAGAATGATAGCATTGAGTTATAATTCATGAAATAAGTTTCCATTAGTCTATACTGGCATGAGTAAATAAATGAATAAATAAATTGGAAACAAGGAACAGCTCTTCTTTTCAGTAGAATTCCAAATAATATGTGTAGAAGAAATGATGGAAATAGAAAATCACCACTGGTAAATACCACAGTAATAATTGCTACAAGCAAAAATTACAGTTGGATGCTAAAATTAGGAAAAAGGAAGTTTGAGGAGCTATCATATATTTCCATAATCTAAAAGTGTCTCCCCACAACACGTTTATTAGTTACAATGGGAAAAACAGGAAGCTTACAGTTAAGACACATGGCAAAAAACCCCTTAAGTAAGTGATCACAATCTACATTGCCCGTGATTAGATACATCACGTCATGAACTGATGCACTAAGAATTGTACAACATGGCATGACTTCAGTCTAACCATAAAAAAGGAACATTCCACAAAATAAATGGCCAGTGCTCTTCGAAAGAACCAAGTGTGCAAAAGATGAAGAAAGATGGAGCACGGTCACAATATTCAAAAGAACCAAGTGTGCAAAAGATAAAGAAAGATGCAGCACTGTCACAATATGAAAGAGACTGAAGAAACATGACAAAAAGCAATATAAAATCTTAGATTGGATCCTGAATCAGAAAAAGGACCATTATTAGTGGGACAACTGGCAGAATCTGAACAAGGTCTGTAAATTCATTAATAGTATTGTGTCGAGGTGAACTTTCTGGTTTGAACAACTGTTTTACGGATATGGTTTATATATAAGATATTAACTTTAGGAGAAACTGGGTGAAGAATTATTGGAAACTGCATTATTTTTACAATTTTTCTGTGAGTCTTAAATTATTCTAAAATAAAAGTTTTTAAAAATTACTTCATAAAATGGGAAGTCATTAAGGATTTTGCATGATCTAATTTCCAAAATGCTAGATTTTCAAGAGGAACCCAATCTTCAAAGGGAACTGAAATTTGAACTAAAAAAGTGAGCAGGAATCGATTCATGTTGACTGAACATGTAACAGGGGAGCTGGGAGAAGACATTAGCTTAGTGGCAGCGCAAGCATATTCCATACAAAGTGAATGCAAGGCTTTGAGCAGGGCCCATGTTGGTAGGGTTGGGGATCCTAAAATAGTGGCACATTAAACAGGCTTGACTGGAGGTATGAATGAAAGGTTAGAAAAGCCTTTAAAACCCAGCACCGGGCAAGACTGGGGCTAGGAGAGACAGACTTAACTTCAGCATAATGTGAAATAGGCAGATATGCATTCTAATTTTAGTTTGGGCAAGTGAACATGTTTCTTTCCGTAGTTCTTGATTCGGTTTGGCTCTGTGTCTCCATCCAAATCTCATCTCGAATTGTAATCCCCAAGGATCGAGGGAGGGACATAGTGGGAGCTGACTGGATCATGAGGGCAGTTTCTCCCATGCTGCTCTCGTGAGAGTAAGGAAATTCTCATGAGATCTTGATGGTTTAAAAGTGGCAGCTTCCCTCTTAACTCCCTCTCACCTGCCGCCTTGTGAAGAAGGTGCATGCCTCTGCCTTCTGCCATGATTTTATGTTTCCTGGGGTCTTTCCAGCCATGTGGAACTGTGAGCCAATTAAACCTGTTTTCTTTATAAATTACCCAGTCTCAGGTAGTATCTTTATAGCACTGTGAAAATAGACTAATACAGTTCTGTATAGTGTGTTAGAGGATTCCAGATTTTACTCTGTATTATAGAAGTTCGGAGGAAGTGGGAGGTAGTATGAGAGTAAATCACAACAAACAATGCATCTGAAGGTAAGTACGAAATGTGCTTTCCAAGAGAATATAAATCTACAAAATTCTTTCCTGGCAAATCACTTAATCTTCATGTGATGTCATATGATTTATTTTGCCAAGACTAATATGATGTCTAGTCACTTAAGTGATATTAAAATTACTGACATGTACCTTTCTATGTTGTCTTATTACTTCATTGGGATTAAAATATTTCATGGCTTATTTAGAAAGGCTCTACCCATAAAATCCTGAAGTTAGCATACTTGTGTTTAATTACTTGATAAAGACACATACAAACCTATTACCTCCTGTAAATTCTCAATCTCAGAGTCACATTTGGCTTCATCAATTTAGAGAAAAAGTAAGAAGAATGCTATAATATGTTTTGCTGTCTTAAGTTTTCAGCTTATCCACATATACTTTTGAAATTCATAGAATTATCCTTAAAATAAAATTTCCATTTGAACAAAGACAAGGAAGACCATTTAAATAAATCGAAAATAAGGTATAATTTGATATACTAATGTTCATACTGATCATGTCTGTTTCTGTGGCCTTCAGAAAGATAAATACTAATTTTTTAGAGGTGGGTATTTTCTGTCTAAAATCCGTGGTAAGGAAAATATAAAGAATAAATGCAATTAGTCCTCATTTTTTGGTTTGTAAAAGGGAAACGTTCATATCCAGTTTCTGCAAGACGTCTCGGCTAAAAACAATGTCTGTTCTTTATGTTTTTACATGTCGAGAAATACAGAGCCTTTCATAAATCAAGCCTGATGTTCTTTTAGCTTTTTAATATCAGTGGAAATAGTGAGCTGGTACTTCAATAAAATGTTTATAAGATATTTTAATAAAGTTAACAAAGAAGCGTCAACATTATGTAACTT